GCTTTACCCTTCCCTGGATTGAAGAAATTCACATGGAACCTGTATATTGGTCCCCATGGTCCAAACAGCAGCTCTGGTAAGAAGGTCATTAGAATCAAGGGAATTACATGAGGAAAATGAGGAACTGTTGTCCTCCAACATGCTTCCCTGGAGCTATGAATGGTTAAAAAGCATGAGTGGTCCTGATAAATCTCCTGTATCTTTCCTGATTGGGCCTCTTTTTCTGCAATATTTGGTGAGGCTCATAATTATGATTGATAGACCTGCAAGTGACAGCCAAGCAAGTCCCAGAAAGGAAAGAAAACTGTCACCAGTGTGAGCATATGTGGTGTGATAGTTTAGTGTGGGATCAGGATTTGGGAAATCTGTTTCTAATTCCTACTCAGCCATGAAGCTTACTGGGTAATATTGGATCAGTCATTGATTCTCTGCCAAACTTATCTTAGATAAATTGAAGATAAATTGGGGAGGGAGGGGACCATGGAAGCCACTTTGGTTCCTTGGAGTAAAAGGAAATAAATAATAAATAATGCAATAATTGTGTTACATTTTCAGCTTACTAAACATTACAACAAGGAGGAGATGTAGGAATAGTACTTTTAGTGGCAGTCACACGTTGTCTGTATTGCGGAATTCTGGTCTTCTAGTACAATCACAAGTATGGTGAGAAGTCTCATTAAGTGGAACGTGACTTACTTTCTGATAAGTGTTGTACTTATTGTACAGTAAGCAACCCAGGCAGCCTCACAACTGTAGGTGTGGCATACAAATGCAACAAACAAACAAGCAATAAGTGTGCCATAAGAGGTAATTTCTGGGTTAGTTTCTAACAAATAATTTCCATTGAACTCAACAGGGCTGATCCTGACAAACTCAGGATCCTACTTTCAATCATGCCAAATTTGCCTTGAATGGTACTTTGGGTTTTCACAAATCCCTTACATGCTTAAATATACTTCTCTCCTCACTATCTTGTATCTTTATGTTACCTTCAAAACTGATAAAATATGTCTAACTTTCTACATATCTCTATAGGAAAAAAATCAACCACAATTGTACACAGTGGCAAAGTCCTATAATGCACATAATTGGATGTCTCCTAAGCAACCATCTAAGCAGCAGTATATTAACAACATTTGGAAGACTATGGTAATGTACAAACCTACTCTACAAGTACAGTAATGAATTCTAATTTTTAATCATATTTTGGCACTATGGTTTCCTTTTCTTTTCCTCTTCGTGGAAGCCCTTCAAGTTTCTGATCATATTCCAAACAAGTACAGGTTCCAGTTTTGTTTTGTTTTACTGTTTTTTCTCTGCACATTCATACATACTCTATATGCTGTATAACTTAGAAAACTGAGATATCTTTCATTAGGTACTGAAATCCTCCTTAGGGAATTTGGTCCTGCACATATTTCCATATTACATCAGAGATTATAATCAGTTGCTTTCTATACTTACTTAGAGATCATGTTGTATTGTGTGTGCTGTTTTGTTGCCTGTATTTTTAACTGCATTTCAAAGTAAGATAAATTCCATAAATTAAAAATGGCTGTCAATTGCTTCATTTCATTCTCCAGTTCCATCCTAAAAATTAAACAAGCAACTCTGTTTTAAATGCAATGAATTTTTAAATACCATGAAGGCATGTCACATTCCTGGCAAAATATTTGCCTAGCTCAGGTTCTCAAGGATAATGGTAAACCGTTTGTGGAGATCACAGTTAATGAATGGAAGGGGAGGGATGAAGCGTATCAGTTGCCCTGTTGACAAGTGGAAATAAACCAAGACAATATTGCATAAATATATCTTCTTTTCCTATTTCACTTCAATTAAAATTAAATAGACTCCTCTTTAAATCCTTTGACTGCCCATTTGTAAACTCTGCTATACACAGTGTATTTTAATGCTATAAAATGAATTCTGGATGAAAGACTAAAATGAACACTTGAAGTAGACCAAAAAAAAAAAAACAAAAAACCCCCCACATATAATCCAGTGCTTCTAGAGAACTTTTTTCCAATGTAACATGCTGCTAAGATAATATTTTTGATTTACCTCTTCCTTGGTATATGCTTATAATACAGTAGATCATGTTCAAATAAATTTTGAGTAACCCCTAAATTCCTATTTAATTCCTTGAAAACTGACTATGATCAGATTTAAAAATAAGATGCCCTAAAAACAGTCCATCCCATTTTAAAAACTCTGATTCACTCAAGACCTTGTAGTAATCTCAATTAAAGTCTACAGTACAATACCTACAACAAAAAGTTTGCTACAGAAAATTATCATTTTTTCCCCTAATTTCTCTGAAAATTTTGTAGTACCAAATCACTAGGTTTTTTTTTCTTTCAGTGCAGGAATTGGCAAGTTTTCATTGTGCATTTTTAAAAATGCCTTTTTTGCATAGTTTGCCACAATAAACACTTCGTTTTATTATTATAGCCATTCCCCCCTCTATATTAGAATCACAAATTAATATTAATATGCAACGCTAAATCTGGGGGTGGTTTGCAGTGTTTTTCCAAATTGCACATGCACGTTGGTAACAGAGAAAGTGCATAGACTATGTAAGTGAACTGAAAGCTTTGTCACTATATGGTGCTCCATGTGTTAAAGTCTTCCAGCTCCCTTTATCTCCAAACAGCATGGCGAATGGGAATGGGAAAGCAGTCTGGTGTCTGGAGAGCCAGATGTTCCAAATCCTGTTGTACATGCTCCAATTCCAGAGTTCATTTTAGAATTTCCCTAGCTAATCTGGAATACAGGCAGGATTGAATAGATCGCACAGCAGCCCCTCCAAAGAATAATGTGCCATAAGGAAATTCACTTATCTTTCACAATATACTGGACGCTAAAGCCCTGTCCAGACATCCAGACAAATATGGTGTGATGAGGATTGTACAACCAAACCCACTTGTCTTTGGAATTCACATTGTCATAGACTTCAATGCACACAGGCCCATCCAAAGCCAAAATGTGAAGATTATGTGGATAGGCTTCTGTATATTGGACTCTATCCATGAAAAGCTATATGAAATCATGAAGTCCAGTACACAAATGCCTTGACACACCAAAATCAAACCTAAAGCCACACTGACTAGATTTACTGGACCTTCCAGGACACATAAAAAAACAAAGCAAACAGGAACAGGGAGAAAAAAATACATTTTTAAAAGAATTGTTTTCTTTTTAAATTCAAAGAGCTATACACAGGTAAAGTAGCTATTCTGGTTTTTTTTTAACTGACAGTGACCCTTTAATGACAATTTTACAATGAGAACATATCCACCGAAACCCTGACATGCAACGCAACACATTTACCACTTGTATTCTGCAAACATCATTTAATCCTTGAGAAAGGGTAGAGAAACTAACACAGCAAAAATAAAATAGAATTCTAATCTATCCATCTGATCAACAACATATGTGAAATAAGAACTTAAAACAAATAAAGCAATAAGACATGTTTTAAATCCTACTAATTAGTTTAAACCCAAACTGCATTTTTCCCTGCACAACTGATATTGATACTTACATTAAAGTGAAAAGAAGGCAAGTTGGACATGAAACCCATTTATTCTGAATCTAGAGTTCATCAGCATTTTGGTTACATTGACACATAGATGGTGAATTTGAATTCAACCTGAGGTTTCTTTTATCATTTGGAATCAATGACCTTTCTGGTATACAGTATTGGATTAAGACTATTCAAAAGTCTTTGGATGCTAACAGGGGAGGCATCAACAAAAATAAAGAAAATATACAATATGGGTGTATTCAATGCTAAACCACATAAAACTTAGTAAGCTTTCACAGCCTCAGGATTTTGATGTCCCTGTTTCTGTCACACATATTAACAGCAACTGTTGATTTACAGCTCATCCTGTCAGGTTTGGTGTGAAAATGTTTACGTCTAAACCGGAGGGAAGATAACTCATTGGAACACTGAAAAGAGGCTAAACCACTGCATATTCAAGCATTAGTAATCAAATCTGTCAAATAAAGATCAGAAAAGCACCACAGAACTCCCAGTAATGCAAAGGAAATGCTATTATTTTATGGTATGTTCAAATAAGATATTCACAGCCTTCTGGAATGGATTCTGTAAATGTCAGACCAATTCAGAAATGTCATTCCCTTTCCAGATTGCAACTCAAAAATCAGATTGTGCAAGATTATCCTCAACCTCAACACGTGCTTCTTTTAAATCAGTTGGATAGTGCAAGCAGAACTGTTCCGTGGTTAGTTTCACTGCAAGGTGCAGGGTATGTTTGTAGTTGCTTTATCTAATTGATCAATTGAGCTTGCTTCTTCAGCACAAGAGAGTCAGAAAAGGAAAAGAATAATGATGGTGAAACAAAAGTAACACAAAATAGAATAGTTTCCAATCGTGCAAAATTTGCTTCACTGGATAAAGCACTTCTTGACACAGTAATGTCCAAGGATTTCCCTCCCGCAAAAGATACTGGACTGAAATTGAAGCCATTCTTACTTTTGTCTTTTCTTAAGGCTATATAAACACCAAAAAACAAACAAAGAAAAATACTGCAGGAACATCAGATGTTACGTTGTTCTGATCTCTGGGAAAAGCCTGGACAAGCAATTATATGGTCCCAATTAATGTGTTCAGGACGAAAAAAGAAAGAAAATGAAGGGAGGAAAGTCAATGATCCCAACAATAAAATCCAGAATTGACTTTACAATCACAGGTATAAATTTCTCAGGTTGATAATTTAATTTCTCTTAAAGATCATTGTCATCTAAAACTAATCAGAGCCGCAGGTTTCCCAAGGAACTGTCAAGAGTCAAAGCAAAGAGTGGAGTCAAGAAGGATTCTCATTCTTCCATTATGGCAGTCTGAGTGACTGGAATTATTGGCATGTATAGCCGAGTTCTGGGAGGGGCAGTAGGGTTCTTGTGGGTGTTCTTGTTGTTATTAATAACTGGATCCTTGTTCCAGCTTGCAGATCAAGCTTCTTATTGAGCTCCCTTTATAGGGGAAAGACTAAGAAGCCGGAAAAGGTTGAGTATTTCCATCCTCCCATGAGATTCCCTCTCTCCAGTTTGAGATGCACTTTGTCTTCTCTTTCCATAAGGAGCAAGACCCCATTGCTGGCTGCTTCCCTTGTGACATCTTGGTCCCCAGCAAAAGCTGAAATCACTGGATAGCCATTTTGCATTAAACTTACCTACAATGCAAATTGAACATAATATAAGTCATCTTGTAAACTTTTTAAAAATGTTATTGTTACATTTCAATATAACATAGTGGTTCACTTTCTAAATTATAACTCAAATACTAAAGTGAGTTCCCAAAAAGCAGGGAGCCTAAAACAGAGTGGAAAGGCCAGTGTAGACAACAGACCTGCATCCTTGCAGCTTACCACTTGAAACAGCAGAATCAAAATTACCTGCTAGCAACCTCCAAACCTAGTTCAGGTTGCCAGCCAGTCCAGTCAGAGTTGTAGCATTGGCTGAGAAATGGATCCCACTCCATTGCTGATAAAGAGCATATTAATAAAACATTCAGTGCATGAATCCTTTCATCATTACATTTCACTATGTAAGTGATTTCACCAGCCTTTATGTGAACTATTTTGGAAAGGAAAGGAAAGGAAAGGAAAGGAAAGGAAAGGAAAAAGGACAGAACAGAACTCTATCTCAGTGAAGAATCTCCCATGTCAACACATACCTGGATAGTTTGTCTGTTATATACTTTCACAACATGGAAGCTGAAACTATAAATTCCTTTTCTTGGTGCTACAAATATACTGGAAGCCAGGTCAAAATGGTTGCCAATATTAACTAATACCTGGAGAGAAAAAAGAAAGAAGGAAAAGAAGGAGGGGGGGAGAGAGAGAGAGAACATGCTTCAGAACATAGAAGTGGGAAAAGGGGAGAAATTCTTGATCAACTCTCTAAGCAATGCAACACTACTGGCATTGTCTATACAATTAAAATGGACTACAGAGGGAAGGAGTCTGTTTCCAAGGTGTTTTAAAAGGATCCATTTCAGACAGCTGATTGATTTACACAGTGGTGCACCCAAAGCACTTCAAGAGAATGAAAGAAGCATGGTGGCAGCCTAGGTCTTCACAGTGGAGGAGAAAACATAATATATGATTGCTACGACACACAAAAAGAAAGGAGAAATAACCTATTAAACAATACAGCTGAGGATTTTACATTTTCATGTGACAGCATTGAAACTAATTATGTCTCCTGGGGTGCTCAGTGTTAATGTGACGCAAAATAGACTTAGTCATGTCTTATGTGATGGGATGGTGGAAGAGAGTTCAAATTTTAAACAAGTAGCCCCATTTTCTTACAATTCACATCCTTCATTCTCTTTCCTCTCACCACTCCATCCCGAAGCATAGGGACTAAGTCAATTAAGCTTGAACAAAGACATAGAGTGGATGCATTTTAACCTGCAGAGACTTAATATGTGGACTCAGTGGTAAAAGTGAAAGCAATTTGCCCATTAGAATAATGTAAAATGATATCGCGAGCCAAGTTATGAATGTTTCAAAAGCATCTTGCAGAGCAACAAAAATAAGGAACAGAGATCCATGAAGCAGAGGCTTCTCCCAGTAATATGCTTGCTTTAAACTAGCCAAGGTTAAGTCAGACTGCACCAGTGAAATGTGTGCAAGGCAAGTTCACAATGGAACCCATCTCAAAACAGAAGTCTGAAAACCAGAAAACTGGTTGAAACAGCTTGACGTTTTGAACAATGTTTGAACAGAAGCACATCTATACAGGAGCTGCTAGCATTATTAATCAAAAGACAATGTGCAACTATTCCTTCTGTTTCTCCATAACAGATTTTCTGTATTAAGAAAAAAGATGGCAGAAGCAAGGGGAAAATATGGAAGACATAAAAGTGGAAAATGTGGTAGCTTGGATCACCAGTGAGAAGCCATGCATGAGGCAAGGCAACTGTTCAATGAAAGCCTTGTCTGAAAGAATCCTGCTGGCTTTTTGCAACAAAGAATTGTGAAAACTGCACTCAGTGCTTCGAACTCTGGAAGGTTAGAACTCATAGGATTCTTTTTCTATTTGCCTGCCAGGTATTTTCTTGTTCAGAGATATGAATACCTTTCATGGTATCCCTTCTGTAGGATTCAGGTGACTGTATATGTATGTACAAAGAATGGAAAAGCTTAAAAAGTTAGCAAAATAGCTTGGCTTTCCTTTATACATGAGCCTGGAAACTGACCTTATCTGGATTCAAAATGTGTATTTTAAAAGTATAAAACCAGAAGCAAAGATTTGTGAAAATTCCTTACAACACAATCCTATGTGTGTCTACTTAGAAGTAAGGCTGTGCTGCTATAGTCACAGATGCCAGTGTAAGCCCACTGACCTTAGTAAGATTTTTTCTGAACAGATGTGTATAGGGTTGCACTGTAAGTCTCACTGAATTCAATAGAAATTACTTCCAGATAGTGTGCATTCCATTATAGCTTCAACCTTCTAAACAGAAACTTTCAATTGTTAATTATAGTTCTGTGCGCACACAAATACAAAGTAAAGAAATTTCAAAATTGTAATTCTAGGATTATTATTTTTGAAAGGCAACATATCATGCTGTCAAAAAGTTACACACATTTTATGAACAAAAAGGTGGGACACAAAACTATTTTGTAGTGTCTGACATTATAGCAGTCTGTCTTTGTGTTGGAGAAAGAGTCAGTGAGATAATGCTACTCCGAACAAAACAAAAGCAATCCTATGCCCATCTATTTTTTTCCTGAAAGTCTGTAAGACCAAGCAGGTGCAAAATATAATATATTTGGGAACACAAAAGGAATCGATTAGTTAAGTGTGTCAGACAGATGGATGGAGAGGAAAATATCCATAATCTGTATTCTATAATTCTAAATTACCCTGACAGAATTAGTTGAGGTGTTACATTTATATGTATGTTTTAAGGGTATTTAAAAATCTCCAATGCATCTTTCTTGGTCCCTCCTGGGCTACAATGGAGCAAACCTAAAAGCACAGAGGTTTTCTCATAGTCAAGAGGAAAAGCTTATGCTTGCAGTGCCTTCGACTGTCCCTGCTCTGCACTACACCCACATTCTGCAGTTTTCCCCAAGCTGTTTTCCACAAATGCCTGTCTGGTTTGCTTGACTAGATAAGGCAAGGTGGGAAATCTCAGGGCTACTCCACAGGGAAAAAGGATGGAAGGATGTTGCCAGTTAGAAAGGCAAGGTCAGAAGGCACTCCTTTGTGTCCACTGATGATTGCCAAGAATTATATGCAGCACTTGTGCCATACTCATTAAGAAGCTATGGTAGCCAGCCAAGGAGCTGTTGATGAGCCAGCTCACGAATGCCGGCTGTGAATGTCTAAGGTAGTTGCTCTTGAGGATACTGAGAGATAGCACTGACCTTTCTTCATCACTGATTCCTCTCAAATTCACTGATGAAGAAAGATGCAGAGCTTTGAGAAGGAAATCACTGGTGCTGGAATCTGGGCAAAGAAATAGGGAAGGCAGCAGTTGGTGTTGAAGATACAGGAAATAGAGGCTATGATTCTATAGACCAGCACTCATTGATACCGGGAAAGTCCTGGATCTAAGAGGAGAATAGGCACTCAGCTGCCCAGAGAAGCTAGGCAACACAGAGTTGATTGGCAGGGCGAGACCTATCATTAGGTAGAATGAGGCAGCCACCTCAGGCCAGAAGATGCTGTGAGCTAGCAGTGACAGATTGGAAGGTGGAGCTGTCCCATCCGTAGTGCTGAAACAAGATTCAAGGGTCGTTCTGCTTGGCCGCTCTGTGTGCAAAGGAGAGGTGTGGATTTAGAGAGTGCTATTTTATTTTCCATCTCAACATGCTGGGCAGGGCCTTTCTAGGAAAGCGAGGCAGGGAACATGGAGGCTGAGGAAGGAGCCAGAAATAGCCATTAGAGCAGCCGTTTGAGCCACTGGGAGGGAGGAGTCAGCGAAGCCACTGTTGCTGGGCGTGAAGGGGCTTCGTTAGAGGAAGGGGCTGGAGATCGAGGCTGCCAAGGCAGGGCAGGTGGTGGGAGGAGACTTTGGCTTGCTCCAGGGGCGGGGCGGGCGGGGCGGGGCTTCGTGGCGGGAGGGCGCGGAGTTTGGAGGTGCCTGACCTGGTCGAAGTAGATGGTCATGGTGCGGTTGCTCATCTCGGACGGCTCGTGGTTGGTGCTGCGCGTGGCCGAGAAAGCCACCTTGGCGCTGCCGGAGCGCACGGAGATGCCGAGAGACGAAGTGATGGCGCCGTCGGCGGACGGGCTGGAGTCACACACCACCAGGCACTTGCCCTCCAGCACGATGGGCTCCGTGTCGTTCTGCGCGCCCACCACCGGGCAGCCGGCGGGCATCAGGAAGAGCAGGAGGGCCAGCGCCGCCGCCACGCACGAATAGCCGCCCGCGGGCTCCGCCAGCGCCCCCCGCTGCCGCCACCACAGCCGCCGCCCGGGCATGGTGCTGCGGGCCCCGCCACCTGCCGCCGAGTCCAAGGGGGCGACGGGCGGCGCTGCTCGCAGTCTTTGGCAGGCAGGCAGGCGGTGGCTTGGCAGCGCTCCCCGAAGGCGCGCACCGGCGAGAGCGGCCCGCGCCCTCTCTGTCCCCTCCGCGCCTTCTCCGTGCTTCTTCTCCTGCCAGGGGGACAAGGGCGACCTCACAGGAAGGTGGGAGGCGAGTGGCAGCTGCAGCCTGAGAGAGCAAAGAGCAGCAGAAAAGCACAGTCATAAAAAGGAGCCAGGCGCCGAGCCCTCTGCCCCCCTCCCGGAGTGCCGCTCCCCGGAGCCAAGGGGAGAGATGAGCTGCTTGGCTGGGCGTGTGCGTGCGCGTGTGCCTTTCTCAGAATAGCAAGAGAACGCGAACCCGGGACCTGGGCGGGCGCTCAGCTGCGCCCGGTCTCCGCCAAAAATGCAGGGCAATTTGCCTGCAGCGAGTGGTCCATCCAGTCCAACAGTCTGCTCCTCCCAGTAGCAAACAAATATGATTCATAGTGTGTGCTTGTGTGTGTGTGCGTGTTGTGTTTTTTTTTTTTTTTTTTGTTTCCTTCCTGCAGCTAAAGATGTCTTTGCAAAACAGAGAAACACACTCTTTCACACCTTTTACAATTCCACAGAGTTCACTGGGTAGACGGCAGAGATTCAAAGCACCAGCTCCAAAATATCCCGTGAATTTGTAGAATGGAACAAGAAGTTAGGCTAACGTCTCCGACACCACTTGGGACTTAACCCCCACTGAATATAATGGCATGTCTGGCCAAGCATGTATAAAATGGACTGCTTACTTCCGACCCATTCCACAAGCATCCCTCAGAATTCAAGTTAAAAAAGGAAAGGCTGGGGGAGTTAAGTTCCCACACATGAACCCACAAAGACAGTTACAGGTGATCAGGTTTCCAACAGCAGAGAAACTCTACGCTCTCGGTTTCTATATTTTTCTCATTCACACCTTCGAAACTCTCGCCCACAGTTTTTCTTGCCCCAAAACACTCGAAGCAGCTTTCCGTACCAGGCACTCACGTTTTCAGTGATCCTCCATTAGACTTCTTTTTTGCCGTTAATTAAAATCTCTCCACTGCGAAGCAAAGTGGTTCCGCGTAACTGGCTTTCTCAGCCAGCCCTGACCTAGCGCATCGAAGAAATCTCTTCTGAATTTCCTTCTGAATTGCTGATCGACTCTGCCCCAACTCTGACTCCCCCTCCCGCAGACACGGACGCCATCCACAAGGCCATTTATCCTTCGATTTGCACGCTCACACGTACCAGTTTCCATGCATCTATCTGTTCAGTAAACTCACGGATGGCATTATGAAGAGATCCACACAATCCCACTAGCAAAGTTCGGGCGGTTTTGCCTAAAAAGTTGAGCCTTGATTGCAAAGCCATGCATTCCGTTTCTTTCTTTCCAACATGCTTGCCAAGCAAGCATCATGCCACACCACCCTGCCAAAAGAATCCCTGCCTTTGCCTATCCCATTTTTTGGTGTCATTCTTCTAAATTTTGAAATGGATCAAAAGGGGAGTGGGGCAGGAAGACAGTTACCTGGAAGGTCCATGGTGGAAGAAAGTCGGGCTTGCTAAGGGTGTTGTCCGTGGAGTTGTATCGCTTGGAGAAAATGAGCTGAGATTAGGCGGGCAGAAACAAGGAACAGGATTCGCCTCATTCTCTCCCGCCCATTGCCACTAATCTCTCCCCTTCTCTCTTCCCACCCTCCTCGGACACATTCACACCCGTCACTGCTTCTCACACCAGATAAACTCGAGCGAGATTCCACCCCCGGCACGCGCGCGCACTTGCAGGCGCTCCCTCTACTCCTGCCCTGGGCAAATCGCAGCATCCCCCCCACCACCAACATACACACTGGCAAAACACACCCCGCTCCCATAGGAAGCCCTTGCTGTGGTCAGTTTTCCACGCAGACACCTCTAATACCTTGGCAAGAGCGGCTGGCTGAAGACCTGCGCACGTCGAACTTCATGGGAACGCAGGAAACGTTCTTCCCGAGCTCTTTTTAAACAGCCTCTCCGTCTCCCTCGCGCTCCCCCCCCCCCCTTTCTTAAAAATATACGCACGTCTGGAGAGCTAACCGGAGATCCGCGGGTCGTCTCCTGATGTTCCCTCCGCCATGCCCAGCAACCACGGCGCAGTGTCTCGATCGGCAGCAGAAGAGCGCGGTGGCGGCGGCTCTTGGAGAGAAGGAAGAAGCGTTGCGCTCCGGAAACAGCGCTTTGCAGGAGTTCTGTTCCTGGTCGAGGCAAAGCGGAGGGCTGCGAAGTGCGCAAGGGGCAGAGGCTCTGTCGCTTTAAAACATCAGGACACAGGCGTTGTTTAGGCACAAATGTCTTATTAACTTTGGTTCCTGCGCCTTCTCTTTCCCAAGGAGCAACCTATCAAGCTACATTGGGAGTTGCGAAGGAGGGGGGCGCCTTATGCGGACGCAGCCGGAAAAGCGAACTCCAAAAGTGGTTGGAGGGCGCCACCCAGCGGCTTTTGTAGCCTTGCAGGATGCTACAGAAAGCTCCCCTGTGGGACCTGGAATTAAAGGGACGAAGAGACCCTGTGAATGTGGGTGGATTGTTTGGGTTAGAGAGATACTCAGAGTGGGAACAGCGGGTTGTGGGATTCCTGGGGATAACGGAAGGATGAACTTTTAGTTAAGTTCTGGCCCCCTCTCTCCTCCCCTCCCCGTCTTTCCACCTCATGCAAAATCAGGGGAATCCCGCTTATTACCATTTTACAAAGCCAAATACTGCCACGGTGATATATGCTGCAGTCAAGGTTATCATCAGTTATTCCTGGCTGCGAAAACATTTCTTGCAGCTCAGCTTGTGCAGCTGCTGCTAAATAGAGCAGTTAGTGCCAAGAAACCAGAGAGAAGAACACGTGGATTAGAAGGAGAACCTCTAGGGCTAAAGGATAATTTGCAGTGTAATTGCTCTCCCCTTTTCCAGGGTTATTTTAGCCACAGTTGAACATTCAACAACACCAACAAAAACACTTGACTTACACCATATCCCAATTCTGTAGTTCTTAGGCATCAGGTTTCTTTGAGTCAAAATGCACTTTACAGCCTGTTTATCATGTAGGGCTCAACCGTGTAATGAGTAAAGAAAAGATAACAGGTGCAGGTAAGCATATCAAAAGGGTGTCCAGACAGATCCCCTGAATCCTGGGTCAATTGCAGGAGCTTCCAAATCCTAAAATGTAGCGGATAGCTTTGCCCCTTCAATTAATACACAAGTTATTAACCCTTCCAGGAAGTGTTTAGGGAGGTTGGAATTATCTTCCCTTACATCAATCATGCAACTGGAAGGATACAAAGCCACTCAGAAAAGAGGCAGCTTGAGACTCAAAACCATGGCACAGAGGCGTGGTTATCCATAGAAAATCAATGCACCAGCCCCTTCTTGTAGATAAGTAAGTCTTTGAAAATAGATGCTTGACACCACCACTTTCCAGTCAGCTTTGGCTACTGGGCAAGATAGAAATGTAAGAAATAAATGCATTTTTTTAAGTTTGCAGGGAGAGTACCTTACTGGTGCAGGTATTTCCAGAGCTGCTACGGAGCACCAACAAGTCAATATAAGCTTTGGGCACTTTGTGCTGTTCTGTTCTCTTCTTTAGACATTTTGAGTGGTCACCTTGAATTTCAAGGAGTGGTGGGAGCAACACAGGAGAGCTGCAAAGTTGCATGGTGCTCATCCCTGTTCTGGAGCTTCAGGCAGTATATTTGTAAGAATGCCCTTTCTTAAGTAAGACCATAGAGCTTTTAATATTCGAATTAAACAGAACCAGTCCACTGAATTCTGGACTTCCTGACACTTGTTGGTCTTTGAAATAAGACATGTGACAACTAGACAGATTTAAATCTATGTGCCAGTTCTCCGACTCTACTTTGATTTATTTTAAAAACTAAACCATTTTTATTGATTGCTGATAAAAGGAAAGGGGTAAAAGATAAATTACAACATTTTGGAGGAATACAATTTTAAAAGATTTTAAACACTAATGTGTGTGTATTCGATGTGTGTTGTTTTCTTGAATGAGGATAGTGAGCTATTCAATTTCAAACTGCAACAAAAGCCCCAGCACTAACTTGTGTTTGGTTAATGGAATACATAAAATGTTGGAAAAATACAAATCCCAGGAAAAATAAATATAAAGTACCTTCTTTTCATCCCTTAGTTAAAAAGGAAGAAGAAGCCTCAATAAAGAAACAGGCTAAACATACAGTGAGTCAGAAGGGGTCTGCCGGACCATCTAGTCTGACCCCCGGCTCCAGCTGGCTCCACTCATGACATGCCCACCATGTGTATGTCTAGCCTATCCTTGAACACCCTCACCGATGGGGCCTCAACCACCTCCCATGGAAGCCCATTTCATACCCTTGGGGTCCTGATGGTCAGGAAGTACTTCCTGGCATCTAAATTGAACCTTGGTTCCCTGAGCTTCACTCTGTTGGAGCATGTCCTGCCCTTCTCTGAAGGGGAGAACAGGTCTCTACCCACTTCTGTGTGACACCCCCTCACATACCTGTATGTTGCCAACATATCACCTCTGAGTCTCCTCCAGGCTGAAGAGACCCAGTTCCCTCAGTCTTGCCTCATACCCCATCCCCTACAAACCAGCCACCAACCTTGTGGCCCTATGCTGCACTGGCTCTAACCTGGCTATATCCTTCCTGTAATGAAAGGCCCAAAACTGAACACAGTACTCCAGTTGCGGGCACAGCAAAGTCATATACAGTGGTAGTAAATTTAGATTCTCTTGATTTAGAAGCCATACTTCTGGCTATGCAACCAAGGATGGCATTCACTCTCTTGACCACCGCATCACACTGCTGACTCATGTTTAGCCTGCAGTCAAGCAGCATCCCAAGATGCCTTTCACAAGTGCCGCTCTCCAGCCACTTGTCCCCTAACCTGTACTTATGACAACCATTGCTATGCCCCAAGTGCGAGAC